TATATCATGTATTTATTATTTTATTTATTCAATTGTTACTAATTGATTTAATTTTATTTATTATTCATTGTTATTGTTTTTATATATTAGTTTTTGTTTTAGTATTTTTTGTTTATATTTTACTATTATTTTTTAATAATTCTTTATTATATTTGTTTATAATTTATAATATATACATTTTATATGATGCATATATTATAAATGTATTTATTATTAATTTTATTTAATATTTTTATGTCCATGTTTTTATTAATTAGTTTCAGTTTTATTTTAGTACATCAAGAGAAATGTTTCTTTCTTTTTTTATACAAAGAAGCTTCACTATAGCTTTAGTGAACTGTAATAACCCTGCTGCAGACGTCTGTTGTATGTGCATTAGTGGAACTGTGATGGTTCAGTTTGTTCTGTGGTCATCTCCAGCAGATCACAGATGTTGTGCATGGATCTTAATGTTTACTGAACCCACAGCATTTTTTTTCCATTATTAATGTGCGAAACCACGCGGCCGACCTGCCAAACTCACAGGAGCATTTAATGAAGGGATTGTTGCTAAGTGTCTGTGCACAATGGAACCCAAAGGCTCTAATTAAGACAGTCCAACAAAGCCGAACCGACACCAGGGGTCACGACCCCGACCCATAAACCCTCGCTGACCCCCACACCTGCCTGATTACATTAGTCTGCGCTTCAGACGAGCAGGGGCCCATCAAACAGAGCCACTACTCAAACTGTCTTCAGTTCTGTTCAGAATATTTCAAGATTATTGCAGTTAACTAAAACTAAATATAAATATAAAAAACACTTGTCACTTGAAATAAAACAAACTTTAACTGAAATTATATATATATATATATATATATATATATATGTTAAACTCTGTAAAACCGTAAACAAATGTAGTGTCAACAACAGATAACAGGCAACTTTTTTTTAACTTGGAACTCTAAAGTGATTTTATTTACAGTCTATGTATTTTTTCCTATTTTGTATCATATTAATTAAAAAATGTGTTTCGCAAATTATAGGACCCTTGACCGTATACACGTTAAAATATGTTCTTATTTTTTAAACTACAAACAAATACTGTGGGCCTGGGGTAGTGTCTCCTCTAAATGGCCGTGAATGTTAGCTTCTCCTCTGCAAACTATACTTATAGTTTAAGAAGCGCCGCAATGACAAAACAGCAAAAATCTAAAATATCCAGTGATGTCTTCTGAAAGGTAATTACGACAGTTCTGATTCATTTACAGATAGATAGATAGATAGATAGATAGATCTGACAGTCATTAGCACTGGACAAGCATTAACATTGTATGGCCATTGACTATGTACATCAACCCCACGGTAACTCAAGTCACAGCACGTTTAAAAGCTAATAAGGACTTAGCTAGTTTACATTCGAGCTGATAAAACAAAATTCACAGTATGCCAAAAGTAATGTTCTGCCCAATTGGTTTTTACCCCCGACAGCTAAACGAGAAAATCCCTTGCAATGCTCAACGCAAGTTCATGATCAAAGTTAGCATTTGTCACAATAGCGCGCTCTTAAAATTTCACAGACTCTGGGATAGTAGCGTCTGTGTATAACATCCTCTTTTTTCAAAGCGCTTTCCCATCGTAAAAATTCTTTTCGTTGGAGGAAAGAGCTTTGTAGGTTATAATAAAATCCTTTGAATGCTTATAAAACTCCACATAAAATCTGACCGACAAAACACAGGGCTAGTCCCTTAACCTTTCATCATTTACAGCTTCGGTACCTACTCGAATGGCTGCTCTTGCTTGCGTTCCCGTCCTTAGTAGCTGCTGAAGTGCACGAACCCGAATTTGTATGTTCCTCCTCATCCTCTGGGTCCTTTTCCGGCTCCTGCGCTGCGGAAACAGCTGTGGGTTGCTGGGACGAAGTCTCTAATTTGTACATCTCGCTCTTTTGTAAACAATGTTCTGATTGATTGTCCGTGCTACAATAAGCGGTTTCAAAAAAGCGGTCAAAACCTTGTGGGAGCACGTTGTTTTTCCCTACGCCGGTGTAGAAACCGGTGGACGGGTGGCTAGAGTTCGGATGATGATGCTGGTGGTGGTGGTGGTGGTGGCTGTACACACTCTCGTTTTTCATGAGCATTTCTGTCATGGTGGATGGCGGAAGACAGTCTCTGTGCACCAGATCTTCTCCTGAGTAGCACGATGCATAGTTGGTTCTGTGGTGCCACTTGCTGGACGGGTCCAGACCATAGGAAACATCTCGCACTGGTTGCACTTGAGATAGATTTGTGGAATAAGGGTATGTGATTTGTCGCGAGGGCCCCTGCGGAAGGAAAGAAGAGACGGCGGAAAATTCAGGAACGTAGTAGGTGCAGCTGGGGAGGTAGATGTTGGAAGCACAGCCCGTCCTGTCCCCAAACTCGGATGTCCGGTCTTTACGCGTCTGGGAGCAGAAGTTGCCCAGATTAACAGAGTTAAACATCTTTCTCCTGTAGTCCGTACTACAGATATGATGTTTTGGATTCGAGCTGCAGAAGGAGAAAATTTGGGAAGGCGAGATGACGCGCAATCCGTCTAAGTCGCCCCGCAACACGTGATCGAAAGTAGATATTGTCATATATCAATTTGGAACACATGGATGCGTAGGAGTGGTTCAGCTGGGTAAGATCTGCGAGATTCAAACGATTAATTTTCAAATCACGCAAGACCATGTAAAACAGTAACATCTTTAAGTTGTTGTTTTAAGCGAGTTTTGCAAGAACCAGGAGAAGTATTTTCTATTTATGTGAACGTGTGTTGGAGCCTCTATAGGTTCTGAGTACGCTGATTTTATGAGTCTGAGACAACACATTTTGTTTTTATGTATATCGTAGCATGTGTGTTTTAATCTGACTTTCGCGTGTAACCAAACTATTAAAGCTTTAAAAGAACGACTGTTAAATATGACTGGTATGATTTTTAATTGTGTTGTTGTGTTGATTGCTAATATTCAAGGGTCGAGTTTTACAGCTTTGTTAAGTTGCTTTTGTTCAATTGCATAGAATTTTTATGACATTCCGTGTCATATTATATATAAATATGTATGCTTTAAACGAGCATATATATTTATACATGGTTTGATAAGCAAATATGCCTTATCGATGTCACGTGTCAGCTCCACCCAATTCTTGAATAGAATAATAGAACATTTGTGAGTTTGTCTTTTTTGTTGAGATAAAAACATTAGAAACTTCTGCAGAAAATGACTTTTGAGAAATGTCAGTCATTGCTTATAAACACAAAGTTAACACTGGTCTTTATGTTTACGTTTGGATGTGGTTTAATTTTCAACTGGGAAAAACTTTTCACTTGGTTTTAATCAACGAAACTAGTTCTATGAATGATGCCACCTATGATTGAAGATGGCTTATCGTGAATGTAAAACGTTGTTTTTTTTATTGAATTAAAAATAAATAAATAAATTAAATTAAATTAAGTGTAATGTACTATTGTGTTCGACTTTCCTTACACTTAAGCACCACACGTTTTGGCATTTAACATGTGTAAAGTACGTCAAATGATCCCTTGGATATTTTAAATCTCTGAGACCATTTTATTAGAGGCATCTGTTTAAGGCAAAACATGCTATCCAGTTTCAATATGTACCCTCCAGCGTCTATTAAAATACGCCTAAAATCTTTTGTTTTTGTAGCATTTAAAAATCCTTTTAAATGCTAAAAAAAGATTCAAAAATCCTTTTTAATATTGCAAGATCTATATTTATAGTAACTATACTAACACATATTCTGCTAACATTGCAGAGCATACTAATCTTCTCAAATTTAAAACAATCTAATTCGTGAAATAAACTATAATCATCATCATCATCATAATCATAATAAAATAAATTCAGTATGTAGCACTCGCTTTAAAATATTTATTTATTTTAAATTAATTATTAGTTCATGTACGGAAATGTGAAGATGTCTGAAGATCTAATGACCGGTCATCGAAACTTTTCACAAAGCATCACATATAACTAACTAATAACAACAACATTTACCATTGTTTATGTTAATTGTTTTTAATGGTTTATCTTTAAATAAAAAGATCATTTTATAGGTCTATTATTTATTCAAACAGCTTTTTAGGGTGTCCATATGAACATTTACAAACTAGCATACTGCACATCGTAACTAAAAGGTTAGTTGTATTTTTTAAACCGCATTTTGCTATATTGCTGGCGTATTTGTGTAAAAGGTATGTGGCAATGACTTTATGAGTCTCTGAACTGAGCCCTCTCAAAATTGACAAAAGGTTGGTGTGCAATATGACTTCAACCAAGTACAAAGAAAGCAGACAGCTGCCCAGACCCAGCACTTGAATTTGACCACTAAAATTCTCACTGCGGCTGCCATAGAAGGCCGAACGGCGGAAAAGCAAGAACTGCTTTGTTCTACAGAAAACAAACAAAAGGTAAATAATTAAAAGTCCTACGGAATGAAATACTTAACTAATAAGATATGCCATACAACATATTCTGGTTTCAGTCATCTAGGTCTAAAAGTTATTTTAAAGGAGCTCAAACTAAACAAACATAACAGTGTCACCTGTTTGAGCCAAAACTCTATCGTGAAACCATTAATGAAAAGGAACAATATCGCTTTTTCTCATCGAGTAGTCCTTCTGTCCAGCAAAGTGTTAATGCGAGAAAGATTTTGCGAGATAACTGCTGACAACAAACACGTTCCCATTGCGTATCATACTGGTTTCACAACGAAGTCCACACTTGTATTCCCGCAGTGCGTAACAACAACAACAACAACTACTTATCTGACATATTTTGTACCTGATTTTGTAATAGTTGTTCTACAGAAGAACGTTTTCACATGTATGTCAACTATTTCGAAGCCATCATGCAGCTTCAACATTATCCTACTAGCTGTAGGACCCTGAAATTCAACAAAGGCGCGCCCTTTTCTTTCTCTAAACAAGCACTATATCCCCACAAATCCTCTGCCCCTGCTGGAGATTTGGACAATTGTGGATATTGTGATGTAGCAGTTGAATTGAAGGGGCAAGTTCAGCTAGAAAGACGTTTAGAGTCTAGAGAGAGGGGACAGAGGTGTTGTAAATGTTTGCCATTCTCCTCCTAAAAACCATCACTATGAAGAACCGTGAGCTTTACGACATTGTCAATGGAATTTTTGCAATGCTTTGCAGCTAAGGTCTATAATTATAGAGTTAAAGTAAAATTATGGAGTTGCTCATTACTGTTACTCGGACTAAAACGACGCGGCCCATGCTTCAGCATAGAGATCTGAAGAAATAACCCGAGCGGTGAATCTCAGCACGTTTGCCAGTTTCATCGACTTTTAATTCGTGCGTCAACACAAAAAAATGCTTTTGCCTCATACCGATGGAACATCGACAGAAAATGAAACCTTTTCAGTAGTCGTGATACATCAACAACGAGACCAAACAACAGTTGTAGGCAACACTCAAGGGCCTTTCAGTGTACCTCTAGGGCTAAAACCTCAGCAGGGCTAAAAAGGGAAACTGTGTAATAGCATTACTGTCCCCTCATGGCCTAGATAAATTTAATTGGATGTAAGTCGGGCTGTTAAACTCGCTCGTATGAGCTGTGAACAGATTCAAGCAACAACAAAAATGGCCCTTCTTTTTACAGAGGTCTCTGCTAGTGCGTAGCTGTAGAGCGTTAGCACAGGCATCCAGTACCCAACTGTATCAATTAGACATTTCAGTCATAGAAATCCTAGAAGCTTGTTGCTCAAAATGTAAAGTTACAGCATGGGCAGACAACAGTATAATCTGTTATATTGAGTGATATTAATTATTTTGTTAGTCGAGGTACATGTGATTAAAACAATCATTTTATCTACAATAGAGATGGCTAACTGTGTACATTTGTGTACAAACTGAGGGGGTGCAAACTGATAAATCGTTTTAAGATACGCTATAGCTATTTATGCCTAAAGAAAAAACAACCTCGCACACACCGGTCTTTGACAAAAAGTTATGGTCTTTGCCGCATATAGGAAGACTTAAATTTTTTTTCCCCCACATATGGGTAGGCCTATATTAACACAGCATTGTTTCTATATATTGGTGCACATAAATACTATTGCTGTATACAGTTATTTCCACATCCGGAACATAAATTCCAAAACTCGACTGATACAGCAGTTACGGACTTTTGCGCTTTGTTCTAATAATAATAATAATAATAATAATAATAATAATAGGAAGAAATTATGTTTCCATTGTCTTGCAGATATCACGCAGATTATGCCTCAAAAAGCGTCTAAAGTAAGGTTATCGTTTCTTTTACTATTATAAAAGAAGAAATTGATTTTGTTTTGAATAACAATATTTTAAAAACATCAACTGTATACCTGGGTTTCAAATCTACAATGTGTGTATATACACATCCAATTTCAGAATAACCATTTTATTTGGACTCACCAAACGTTCAATGTAACCTTTAATCCATGACACGGAAATAGCACAGAAAATGGGTGCATGATGCATGCAGTAGAAAACCCTCTCTAAATATGCATCGTTTGTTCTTCATGTCAGAACAATCTTATTCAACAGTCTTATTACCACAGTGATTATAATTTTAAGTAGTTACGTCCCATAAGATTATCTGGTAAATTGCACTAAAGTGCAAAACTTGAGTACGTTCACAAAAAAACAATTAAAACATGTAAACTCCAAAATCAACATTAGCTATATCAAACAAACATGAAAAAGGCACCAATACGCTTTCTCTGTACGGCTGTTTCCGTTGCTATACGGCTCATTTCATTGTAGCAGAGGCGCCTCAGCAAGCTGAAATTGGGTACAATCCAGCAACATTAAATTGATCTTATTCAAAAACGGCTATAGAATTTAGGTATTTTTGTCAAGTTATGTTTTTGCTATTTATTTTATCTACTTACTTTACTTTTTGCCAGGAAAAAGACTGGAAATATTTAGCGCACGCATTCGTTCTTTTTACAAATGCCACTTCAGTCATACTGCTTACATAATCTACCGAGATGTTTGCTTAATATTTGTTGATCAAACTGATTCGACGACCGTAAACTGAATGGCATTTATTGCGGATGCGGAAAGCAGATTTCCGGCCCATGGCATGTTGATGACAAGATAAAGGTATGTACTCACAACAAAACCTTTAATATGACACCGCGTGGCTGCTGCACGACTTTGTTTATAAGCAACATAGCGTTTTTAAATAACAAAAGGTTAACGCTCATGCTCAGGGTATGTCTGAAAGCATTGTGCTTTCACTCTAGTGGTGTTTTTCTTCTTTTTTGTATATATATGGCCTTTTTAAAACTATTACAGGATACCCTACTACATTAGCAAAAATCACAGTAATTATTTTCAGGACCTTACTCCGCAAACTGATGTACTTACACAAGAATATCTGGATATTAATGGTATAATCACTTTGAAGATGGGTCTAAGTTTAGGATTCATTCAAAGGTTTGACACAACAAACATCGAAAATGCCTATGTTCGCCCCGTCCACCAAATGATTAAACTTACTTAAAATACTTTGCTTGGCTACATCGCAAGAAAATGGCTATTTTTGTCAAAGACTATTAAG